AACATCTTGGGTATACTGCGCCCTGGTACTCTTATCCACGTCCTCTGCCTGGGCTGCGAAAACTTTGCTGGTATGTGACTCAGCCACAGTGTCTTTTTTTGCCCCTCCCCCTGTAGGTCTAATGAAACGAAGTTGAGGTGAGCGCTACGCGAGCGTACGTTAGTACTATGTTGAAAGGACATGACTTGAAAGGACGGAAAAGAAGAGAAAACAAAATCCTGAATTGAAACGCATAAAAGCGCTAAAGACTGTTTTGAAGCATGATTACCTGAGAAGCAGGTTCGCAACCGCAGAAATGTGCCACTTCTGTGATGCCACTGGTGCCAAAGCGCACTCATAGTTCGCAATTCGATCGCTTGGATCGCGCGATCAGATCGCTCGAGAGTTTGCATCTCACGACCGGATCCTCGAGCGTCTGGCTCACGCGACCAGGATCCCAATAGCGCGATCCAAGCGATCGGTTCGCGAGTATGAACGCGCTCTCACCGAGATCTCCGTCCATGATACAGTACGCCGTACGCAAACATTACAGGTCATGAAGCTACGCCATACCCTTTTTTGGTCCGCGTACTTTCACCGTTACAGTGTAAAAGAGTGCACGAGAGCGAGAGCTCTAGAAAAGTGTTGTTAGCTCGAAATCGACAATGAGGTAAAACCGGGAAGGGAAATTCCATATTATTCCATTCAGTTCTCTCTTGAGATGGTCAGCTCTTTGGTCTAGCATGTTAGAAGTAAACCAGCTAACGGGGGAGAATGTCGAGGTACAAGATGTATGATATATCCCATTTTCGATCATTGGGATATGTGCCAGACGTCGATGAGATAGATATCCTCTTGAACGGATCTTCAATGGCCTCCTTGTCCTGCTCGTCTTTATTGCCGCCTCCAGGGCTCGTCTCTAGGCTGGGCGTCTTCTTGCGTCACAGTGTGCTCCTGTCGAACTTTCGTCCTGTAATCATCCTACGATAGAGCTAATCCCTTTTTCCACCTTCCGTTATGCGTGATGGAAAATTCGCGGAAGCAAAATGGAATCTTCGGACGAATAGCCCGGCAGCAGCCACCCTTGTAAGGAAACCGCACACGGCTCAAGTTTTACAAAGTAGTAGCGCTACATCCCTGTCCTGGAATTGAAGTTACCATGGTAGAGGGCCTGTCCACGGAGCACTATCTCATTGAGGGGCGCAGCCGTAAGGTGCACGAGATGGGTGGAGACGGCAATAACATAAGGCTCTTTGTCACGCTTTCTCAAGCGGCAAGCACACATTTTTTCCACAGCTGCGGACTTGCGCAGCATGTAGGAGGAAGGATCTATACATCTCACAAAAAAGCGTCTACTATCAAAACTTACTCGTCCATCTCTTCACCATCGTATTCCTCTATAGGTTTGCTAAGTTGCAGCCTCGGTCCATATTTGTCCTCTTCAGCAAGCCTCTCGGCTCCGAAATCCGACAGATATATAGCTATTCTTCGTATGGAACCACCTGGAGGTCTGAAACATTCTGCTGCTGAATTCAGGACTAACCAGCAGAACCGAAAAAAGAGACTGAAAGAAAGCAACATACGTGAACGATTTCGCTATCACCATCAAATCTTCACAATGAACGAGGTTCCAGTCCAGGTTACAAGCGGCAATTCGCCTTGAAGACCATTCCACTTGTTCGGCATCCCTGGACAGTTCCAATTATTTCAAAGAGGGATACGGAGAACTGCCGAGCAAAAATTGCACATACTGATCCAGATGAGCCAAATCGATTTCTAACTGGATATCCTCGTTGGCTTCCCAGTCGGAATCCGAATCCTCATCAGATGACGACTCTACGTTGCCTTCACCACGAGCAAGATCTAGCTGGAAAGCCAAGCAGAAGACTGAATATAACCGAGGACAAAAGCATCGTCATTTACCTTAATAGGTCGATCACTGCTATCATCCTCTCCTTCACTTTCTTGATGCTCTTCTTGTGCATCGGAGATGTCCTCGTCTTTTCCTTTCTTTGCCGGTGACACACTCGTTCCCTCATCGTCATCGCTTTCTTCGAGCTCATACAAGTCCACAAGATTACCTGCGAAAACGTGCTCAAGAAACAATTTTTTGAAGAACCATATATGCACTTACCGCCTTTATTTTTAAGAGGGCGGCCTCTTTTATCCACTCGTGCTTTCGTGGAGAATTTCTGATCTGTCAAAGCGGCAGCGAATCGTTTCCCAATAGTGACCTAAAGCCCATCATTGAGCTTCTAGTTAGTTTAGATCACGCCGTCAAGAGTAACGCCTCAACACACGTGAGAGTGCGTTCATAATTCGCGATTTGGTCAGTATG